CCCTCTGGCAGGGTGGACCCAGAGCTGTGTTTGGAGTGGGTGGCAGTGTCATTGCTGTCCTGTCACTCGTGCTGGTGGCACTGGCACTGCCACCTCAGAGTCCCCTGTGCCTTCTCAGAGGGGCAGAACCACCGGCCTGGGGGCAGTGCCAGGGGCATCATATTCTTCACAGGAGTGTGTTCTCCATCAGGGGGCTGTGGGAGCAAGGCTGGTGCTGCACTGGGATTGGAAAAGAGGGGATTTTGGGGATAGCAGAGAGGAGAACAAAAACTCTCATCCCTCCTTCTTTCTGCTGGCCAACACAGGGACATTGAGGGCACAGCACTTGCAACAAAAGAGGGGCTGTTTTTAACCATTTTAGAAACAAGAAGCAGCTCAGAGGGTGATAAAGTGAGGGTTTCTCTGCCTGGAGAGCACAGCCCAGCCAGGCAGGGTGTGAGGGGGCACTGCAGGAGCCCCTTGGCACAAAGGCTTTGTGAATCCAGTGGAAGGTGGGGCACTGTGTGGGGCAGCAGGACCAGGAGAGGGCTCACCCTGCTGTGAGCTCACTGGGGTGGTGCCACCCTGCCTGTCCCTGCTCAGGGACCCCAATCCCCGTCCCCTGGCAGCAGGGAACACTGACAGGAACATACATGGAGCAGAACCCACAGGAGCCACTGGAGCAGCCATTTCTGCATTTGAGCTCCTCAGGAGGCAAGAAATGAGATTTCTCCTGGAAATGCACAAAGAAATGTCCCTTTCTGCATGCACCAGGACTCTCATCACAGCCCTGGCATGGAGCTGGCACCCTCCCCTCACTGCTGGGAGAGCAAGAATGTGTTCATTGATTTAATTTATGACAGAATTAACCATTACCTGGTGCTACTCAGCGACTGTCACGTGCAGGACAAACCAAGGGACAAAACCACTTTTTGATTGTTATTTTAGCTTGCTGCTAACAGAGGCTTTTTGCCTTGGTAGCCCTTTGACTCCTGATGGTGATTTGGGGGGCTGATCCTGTGCTCAGATCTGTGCTCAGATCTTCACTCAGTGCTTCAGTGCATGTCCCTTATTGCCCTGCCTGCTCTGGTTTTACTGGCAGAAAAAGCTGCCACCACTGCAGCCCMACTGCCAACTCTGCCAGCTGAGCTCCCAGAATCTTCTGGTGGGTTTTTTCCAAGAGGAAAATGTCAGAAAATCCTTCTCTTGCCACAAACCAAAGCCTGGGGTTACACATGGGGAGGAAGCAGCTTGAAGGAAGGGCCTGGCAGGTGAAGCTTCAAATGTGGCAAAAGAGTTCAAAATGAATGYGAGCATGTGATGGGGTTTTATATTTAACAGGATGGCTTTAGGATTCAGGATGGGTTCCATTTTTGCTTTCAAAAATCTACACAGCCAGGTGCGGAGAGAGGAGGAGAGGAGCAGTAGGTGGGGAATGGGGAGAACCGAATTCCCTGGAACATCCTGGTGGTGGTGGGAGCCCAGGAGTAAAGCCTCACATGTTCAGGGATATGCAGAAGAGATTGTCTCCACCTCAGAGAGCTTCTCACTAAGGTTTAACATTAAAAGTTGAGCTTTTTTTCATTTCTGCTTCATGCCTGTGTGAACTTCACTTCAGGCCTCAAATCTGCTTTTCTTGAAACCCGTCTCAAAATTGCTATTGACTTTCAATGCTGCAAGATCTCACCCATAAATTCTGCTTCTCCCATCTGTAAAATGAGGATGGCAGGATTTCTGTGCCATCTGCGGTGCTGTGAAGCTGAAAACAATCATCATTTATAAAGTGCTCTGAGCTCAGATGGGAGGTTCTGGGTAAAGGCAAGGCCRTGCAGGATGAAATGTTCCTGAATGTGCTGGTTGCATCTGATATCTGAGAAAGGGGCCGGGTTGAGGGTTTAGAAGAACAGTCTGGTGATGCAGAGGTGCTCCAGCTGCTGAATGTCTTGGATTATTTGTGTTGATCAAAAATTCCTGTTCATTATTACAAAACCAGGGCACAGGGGCTGCACGTCCCACAAAAATCTCTTAAAATCCACGCTCATCTCAAGCATCTGTGATCTTTAACAGCCACAGATCTCAGAGCTCWGGCCACCATGTGAGCTAACAGCACGTGCTCTGCAAGGAGAGAACTGGGAGCCGCAGGTGCTGAGCCCTTCCCAGGGAATAGGATGCATCTGATGGGAACAAAGGATGTTCCTTCCCATCCAGCTTCACAGGGCGTTCAAGGGAATCTGTCTGACCTTCGCCTGACATGTCTCTGCAGAAAGCTGAGGGCCAAACGGGGACAACAAAGAGCAGGCTGTGGCTGAGCACGGGGTTTGAAGGTGAATATCCTGGGTGCAAAGCACACTGAGCTGAGGCAGCTCCTGGCTCAGGCCAGGCCCTCCTGATGATGCCTTAACCTAAACCAGAGGCCAGACAAAATTCAGAGAATAAAAA